GGGGGTTGGACTCCGTGGCCTTGTAGGCCCCTTCCAACTCCATGATTCTATGATTTGTTTGTAATTGCACCTCTCAGCCCACTTTTGGGAAGTTTTATCTTGGTCAGTGAGACAAGTAGAATTAAAATAAATAAAAGTATAGCAACCAGCAGCGGTGGTGGTGATGCTGAATAAGAATTATCAATTCTCTTTCAACGGTATTTATATGTTGCCTCTTATACTCTCAACAGCCCTAGTAACTTTGACGGACCGAAAGGGGTTGCCCCAAGGCCACCTTCTTGAGATTTCACAACTGGGGGGAGCCAAGGTTCCAGCCCCACCCTTCTAACTTTGCCACAAAAAGACTACACCTGTCATACAGAAGCAACCTTTTTGTTTATCTCCATGTTGTCGAGACCTTGGCAACAGATTATAATCTGCAGTTGACTTTAATCCCTGACAAACTTGAAAGGAGGGTTAGGATGATGGATTCCGGTGATTGGAATGAAGCTTGATGGCTCAAGGCAGTTGGATGGATCAATAGCCTTGAGGGTTCACTGGAGATTTGGCTTTCCCCACTCCCCTCATCACCACCCTCCAAATCCAAGACCATGCTTGTAATAGTTCTCAATAAGCCTAGGATTCCCATTTTCAAACGCTCCAAATCCAGATACCGTTGGCTTTCCAGTTTGATATTTGGGACCTACTCTGGATGCTTGTGCCCGGGATTGAGTTCAAGGACTTGTCATTTGGTAAATGAAATACGAAGCCAGAACAATCGCTGCCGCTTCAGGAGTTGAGGAAAAACAGAAGAGGGATGGGAGCAAGGAGCAGATCAACAGGTTATGCACCTGTAATTGTAGTGCTTCAAGTGGACCTCTGTGATTCACACACTGGGTGATCTACAGGGTTTTTTTTTTCGGACAAACTATCCATGGATATTTCTTTCCTCCCCAAAGTCGTATCTCAATTCCATCTCTCTCAGCTGTTTATCCTTCCTTCCTTCTTCTTGTTAGAAGTCCACAACTCAAGAAAGACTCCTCCATAGTTTAGACTTTAGACGAACCCTTGCCTTTTACGTCCAACGCACCCAACCTTTCAGGCGTTCACCTCGACTTTTCATAAGTCACCAACCACCTGCTAAAGGTCACCAGGTGATGTCTCAAACTATATCTAGATGGGTCAATTTTACCATTCACCTTGCATATCTGCTGGCACACAAACCAGTTGATTCGCCCTCAATCCACCAGAGCAGTGGCGACCTCTACGGCATTCCTACGCTGCAGGACGTCTGCGCCTCTTCCACCTGGGCACAGCCATCCACTTTCATCCAGCATTATAGACTTGATCCTCCGGCAGAAGTCCGATGCGGCCTTTGACATGCTGTTCTAACCTCTACCTTGGGGTGACACCTTACCTCCAGGTAGGACCGCTATTTAGTCACCCAGGGTATGATTTGCAGAGGCCACGAAGAAGAACGACAGGTTACCTGCCTGTAATTGTATTTCTTCGACTGGACCTCTGTGATTCACACCATCCCGCCTGTCCTCCCCACTGTCACGCCATTCTGCTTCATGTAGCGGCGGTTGACACAACTCAAAGGGGAGCCTTGGCGCCAAGGTACTTATACGAGGGGGAGGGACCTTATTCTAATTTGTGTTTTTTTGCTACCGCAGAAGCTCCAGATCTTTCCGATGAGGCTCCGCACAGGCGCGAATCACCCAGGGTGTGATTCATGGAGGCCACGAAGAAGAACTAGCAGTAACTTCTTCTCTGCCAAACAAGGGATTAATGAGAACAAATGCTTCCATTAGCAAGGCGAGTTGGATTTTGAGAGTCAGTATGAGTACCACTGGGAAAACAATTCCTCCGCCTTTGAAAAGCCAAAAACAAAACAAGGTGCCCCAAATATGACACCTCTCCATTCAGAAGCATCCCTTAATAACAAAATTGATGCTTGTTTTGCTTCTTCTTCGGCAGTGTTTCTCCTCTAATCTTTCCCCAATGAGACGTAACATTAATTACTACATTTAAAGGAAGTTCCATCTCCATTACTGTCATTGTCCTTTCCTCTTTTCATCTTGAACATCTGAAACTTGTTTGCTGTGCGGTGGCGGCGGGAGTATCAGAAGGAAGAACAGGGAAGAATATGCAAGGAATTGGGGGGGGTTATTATTATTATTTATTTGTGCAATGTCAAGTACAAAGGGAATCAATATTTTTGTCATTACGCCTTCTGTCATGTGCACAACCTCCCCCCCCTCCACTCCACCGGCACTATAATCTTTGCTGTCATTTGAGTTTTAATTGTGTTGTTTCCTCTGGTGTGTAGAAGTAAATCTTATCTGTTTTGGATTAAAATTCAATGAAGGTCACGGCGGCTCGAAAATTTACCAGGCTGCTGCAATTAATGTTCATTTGGCTTTGATAAATTGGAATGTTTCCCTACAATAGAACTGGAGTGGGTTTGAGAAGCCATAATTCTTCCATTAACTCAATGATTTCCCTTGCATGATAGAGCAACCTGTCACCGTTCTGTTTGTCATCTGTCACTTCAAGGTTCTGGGCATATGCCTGATATGATTTATTATGATTATTTGGGCTGGTTGTGTCAAAACATTTAAAACCACTAATTATTCTTCCTGTGTAAATTGCTGAATTACACAAAACATGTGATGCACCCTTCCCTGTGCTCTGATTATTCCCCTGCTTAATTATTGTTCCCAGTCATTATAAATCCTCGTTAAGAGCTTCCTTTGCAGCTGGTTTAGAATTTAAGAAGAGTGCCCATCGCTTCCCTCAAACCAGGTAGGGAAAGGAAGAGTCAATCGAATACCTTTGCTCACCGAGCATGATTCTGGAACTTTCTTTTGAAAGGAGCTTCTATGATGCCTGAATTGTGAAACTACACACCCTACACACAAGTCATCCAAACAAAACAGTCCAGTTAAGAGGGAGGGGCTGACAGGATCTGTCCCTTTCCAGGCCATGTCAATTTCACCTGTCAGTTTCAACTAGCTCAAATCAATTGCACGTGGAACGGTTGGATTTCTTAATGGTTCAGGCATCTGGCTGTGGAACCAGACGTTGGGAGTCCAATTCCCTCCTGTGCCGCCTCCTTGACAGAGGCTAGGCTCATTGACCCATAGGGTCCCTTTCAGCACTGCAGTTCTAAGATGATTAGACATTCCTTAAGCTGCGTCCACTTCGGCATTAATGTGTGATTAAAAACAACAACAACTGCATTGTATAGAAATATTTAAATCTTCAGTAATTTTTTTCTCACAAAATATACATTTGTAAGTCTGTATTCACTTATACACATGAATTTCCATATTTATCCCTAAATACACGTTTTAATGTATTTTGCTACTTTAAGAGAGAGAGAGAGAGAGAGAGAGGACTGGAAATCTTCAAAAACCTGAAGGATAATTATGTTCCTTTTGTACATCAGACTGGGAGGTGCAAATCAATACATTTTGCATGAGAGTTTGCAATGATGTGAGTACGACTGCAGCCAAGGGGAAACAAGAAGCGGCATGGACCCCCTCCCTTTAGAGCCAAATGAATATTCCAAAGGAAAAAATTCAGCTTGGCTCTACACTCAACACAATGCACAGACACGGCATTCTGTTTAATCTAATTCTATTACTTTTAGGAGCAATAATCCTTTAAAAAGCCACTGTAACAGTTGTGCAAGCAGTGTATGGCCTAAGTGAACGTGGAAATTAATCACGGCCATTTAGAAAGATCCTCCAGAAACTACATTCCTGTATCCTTCTCTTACATAGGTGAGAGATGTCACCTGCATCTCCCTGCAACCCCGGCTTTCTCTCCCCCAACCTCCCGTCTTCACAAGACAACACCTTCTCCCTTGAATGGCATGGATCTGAGCAGGACTGTTTTGGTTACACAAAGATTTTTTTTAAAAAAAATAAATAAATAGGTAAGCATTTAATTATACATAAATACTCAAAAAATACTATGCTTCTATTCGTGTCCAGGAAGTAGCCTGAAAAAGGTGGGTATTCCCAAGGCCTCTGATGGCGACGGCTCAGATGGCCTCTCTCTTGGCACGGCAACTCCATGTGGTGGCCGGGCAGAGTGCTCGGGCAAGCTGGGAGGCTGCTGTCTGTCAGGGAGGGAAGTGTGTTTGTGTCTGTCTGTCTGTCTGTGAATCAAGTGTTTATACTTAGCAGTTACTCTTGGAGGGCCTTGGTTAGTTATGCAGGGCTGGTGCCTTAAGCTCAGCACTGCTGGAGGGAGAAGTGTACTGCCTGGTTAATGTTTTGGAAGCCTCTCTGATCAACCCATCCACCCCAAAAAATCTGAAAAGAAACGTCAAGCCTTCCAAGTGACGAAGCTTCCTTTCACAGGGCATTCTTAGAACAAATTTGCTTGTTCAGAGGTAACAGGAAGAACGACTGTGCAGCTGACGCCCGCCTGATGGGCAAGCTCCAACTTTAGAAAGCATCAAGGGATCCGTCATCCCGTTGCCTTATCTTTCTCCGACTTGATATCACATGGGGAAGGAAGACTCCTGACAGCATCGAAGCCTTCAGCTCACATAACTTTGAGCAAAAACAAGACAGCTGACAACAAAGGTGTGTTGAAGGTGTTCCTATGCCTTGTCACCTAACACTCACCCACCTCCCTCCACCAACTCTAGAGAGAAAATATCTCTCCAAACACCTGGAGGGCACGCTTTGAGACTCCTGACAAATTCAAAAGTGGATTTGACCAAGAGGTGTGAGGGCTAACCTGGAACTTCTGAAGAATACTGGAGTTCATGCTCTGATACACTCAAGACAAATTCTCTTTTTAAAAGGGATATCCCCCCAGGTCCCGGTGAAGTGGAAATTCTTTAGCATAAGCAGATCAACTGGGACAGGAGTGGGGAAATGGGGAGAAAATGGGATGCCTTTGATCTGACAAGGCGCGGCGGCAGGCTGGTCCCCGGGAGGGGGGAGGCGCTTCTCGTTGCTGTTCTCTGAGAGGAAGGGAAAGGAGGTGTCACTCACCATGATGGAGATGTGGAGGATGTGCATCTGCTCTTCCACAATCTCGGAAGGTTCCTGCAGGGTTGGCGGGGTGGCCCGCGATAGCTGCTCAGCGCTGCCCATGGAGACGTGGAAATAGAGGGTGCCGTTTTCCAGCCACTGCTGCTTCCAGTGGACCAAGGAAATGTCAGACACCGTTCCTGACATCTCTGGGGGGGAAAAAAAGAGACATTTCTTTGAACGTCCGTATTTGTATAGAGCTATGGAGCGCTTCTCATTTGCTCTTTCTCACAATCCCTCATTCCTACCAGTAATTAAACTTAGAGCACACATAACTGCATTTTCCTTCTTTCTTTTTTTTCCCTCTTTATTTCTCCCCCAATCTTAAACGACTTATTTTATTTTTAGCACAGTCGTTTCCAACCTTGGGTCCCCAAAGCCTTCGTGCCACTCGCTCTGGTGGACAGGACTTCTGGGTGTTGCAGTCCATGAACATGTGGGGAACCACATTCCCTGTCATTTTCCATGAGCCTTGGGCCCTGCTCCATGCACGCAGGGTTCCAGCCGCAACTGGAAGCAAACGGGTGGCTCCGCTGCGTAGTTTGCACAGTGTAAGGGAGCACTACTGGGGACTTAAGGTTGGCAACTAGAGGAAAGCACCTCCTGACCTTATCTTTGCAAAGCCCCATCTTCTCATAGTCGTTGCTAGATCAACAATAACCTGCTATATTGGTCCTTACAACAGTCCTGTAGGACAGTGGTTCTTAACGTGGGCGATAATGCCCCCCAGGGGGCGATTTAATTTTTCAGGGGAGCGGTAGAACGAAAAGGGGCGGCGTGGGGGCGCTGGAGCAGAAGGGGGCAGTAGG